AATGGGGTCGTTAAATATATTTTCTTGTGGTAGTGCCAGAGAGGAAGATCAGACCGGATTCAACAGGATTAAACCGGTCACAATTGGGCAACTCGCAAGTTTGGGTGGTTTAACCAGGTTGTTCTGAAAAAAGAAGAAGATGAAGAAGAAGAACTTGAGGCTACTTCATACGCTCAAAAAAAAAAATTGACTGAAGAAGAAAAAGATAAATGAAAGAAAGATGATTGTTTTCTTCAGTTCCTATGATTCTACAAGTTCACTATGTAAATAAAAGAAAAATTTATTATGATCCCCTGCCTCTATAAGTGCATCTAAATGAAGTTGAGGAGGCATGGAGATAAGAAAATGAAAGAAAGAAGAAGGGGAACGTCTGGAACGAAGAAAGAGAAAGAAAGAGATAGAAGAATGAGAGCAAAAGAGAGAAAAGATTGAATTGTGAAAGAAAATAATAAAAAAATATGGAGTGGTGATTTTTCAAGAGTGATGGGATGGAAAGCAGATTTTAACACGAACACTTGAAAATTTTAAAAGGTGAATAAAAATTGAATTTTGAGAAGAAAAAAAGATAAATTAAATTATGATAAAACTTTGGAAAAATGATAGATAAAAAAGGTGGAATATATGATATTCCAATTTGGAAAGCTAAGGAAATGTAATGACAAAGAAGGAAGTCCTTCCCAAATTGAAATTTTAAAATTTAGTGAAATGACAAAAATAGCCTTTGTCTTTTTTTTTTTTAAAAAAAGCTCAACCCCTCACCGAGTGCCGGTGCCAATGTGGTGGCTGTCGGTGGAGTTTTTTTGTCACATTTTTTTTTTGCATGGAAGAATATTGGTTCAAAGTAATAGGGGTAGGATTTGATCCCACAACCCCTTGGTCATTTGGGATAACAAAAAAAGAAAAGATGACCTTTGGGCCACCAAAGACTTCTTAATCTTATAATGCAAACAAAAATATAAGTTGACTCTTTTACTGTGACTCCAGCCCGTGACAACAATTTACCTGAGGATGACAGGTCTTAATTGAGACATAACAAGTCTAAACTTGATATTAACAAAGTAACTTTTTCTGATACATAACAAGAAGTAGCATGTATATTAATTAAAAATGACCATAATTTATTTGAAAATGACACATCTTTACTGGAAAATGACAATTCTAAACTTGAGATTAACAATGTGTCTTTTCCTGATACATAACAAGAAATAATATGTATATTAATTAAAAATGACCATAATTTATTTGAAAATGACACGTCTTTAGTGAAAAATGACAACAATTTATTTGGAAATGTACATATTATTTCTTGTTATATATCAGAAAAAGTTGCTTTATTAATATTAAGTTTGGACTTGTCATTTTCCAATAAAGACATGCCATTTTCAAATAAATTATGGTCATTTTTAAGTAATATACATGTTATTTCTTGTTATGTATTAGGAAAAGACATATTGGTAATCTCAAGTTTTAGATTTGTCATTTTCCAGTAAAGACATGCCATTTTTAATTAATGTACATGCTACTTCTTGTTATATATCAGGAAAAATTGTTTTGCTAATATCAAATTTAGACTTGTTATTTCTCAATTAAGACTTGTCATCTTTATGTAAATTGTTGTCACAAACTGGAGTCATAGTAAAAGAGTTAACTTATATTTTTCTTTGCATTATAAGGTTAAGAAGTCTTTGATAGCCCGATGGTCATCTTCTTTTTTGTTGGCCCAAATGGCCAAGGGGTTATAGATCAAATCCCACTCCCGTCACTTTAAACCAATATTCTCCCATGCAAAAAAAAAAATTGTGACAAAAAAACTCCACCGACAGCCACCACACAGATGGCCAGCGCCAACACCTAGCAGCGGCTACCGGCCACCAGCCACGAGTGAGGGGCTGAGCTTTTAAAAAAAAGAAGACAAAAGGTATTTTTGCCATTTCACTGAATTTCAAAATGTCAATTTGAAAAGGACTTCTCTTTCTGTCATTATATTTTTTTAGTTTTCTAAATTAAAATATCATATATTCCACCTTCTTTATTTGTTATTTTCCCTAAAACTTTTAATGTCTAAGTTTCCCATGCAAAATCAGCAAAATCATCTGACAAGATCTGACTAGTAAGTATTTATATCATATTATTTACTACATAGATAATTTTTTAAATGCATCCTTTATTATATATATTATCACAATTACTTTTTTCAAATAATTATTTATTTTATATACAAAATATTGGGTATTTATTATTATTTGACATTTTCTTCATATGTTTATTTTTATTTTCATTTAAAATAAATAATATAGAATTTGAAACATAGCATTTTAATTATTACAGGTTTAACCAAGAGTTAATCCCAATTTGATCTACAAACTCTTAATCTAATATCTCCACCGGTTCAGTGACTAGTCCATTTTTTTCTTTCTTAGTCATTTTAATTAGGATCTCCACCTAATTATAATATATGAATTTAATTTATTACTGAATATCACATTTATTACTGGGTCGTTAATTTAGAGGGAAGAAAGGAATATTCCGTGTGATTTGAAATATGCCTAGAAAAAAATTTCCTATAATAGGGGAGATTGCCCCTTCCTAGTCCCTAATATATTGTCACTCTAATGCTATGAACAGGAGGTGCCTCCCACAATTATTCCTCACCCCAACCATAAAATTTTACGGCCTTCACTTCTCCATTTTATTCTCTCTTGTAAGTACATTTACAGTGCTAAGTTTATAGTTGTTTAAACTCTTTGTGAGCATCAATTATTTGGCTTGCGAAGCTTGGAGACTTGACCCAAATCCAAATATAAGTACAAGTGGATATGTTTTTCCATGTTCTTGTTTATTTTCTGACAATTTAAAAGTAATAAAAAAGAGCAATACATACGTCAAGTTTCATATACCCATTATATCAGGTTCCTCAATTTTACATATGACCATATGTGCTATTTTTAAAATATTATCATTTAATTTTAAATCCATATAGTTTATATAGTGCATATTATTTTTTCCAAAGTAAAATAAGTTGCAATTTGAGTCAAATTACTTAAATAATAAATTATATTTGATTGGAAAAAAAAAGTTATTATACCTTTAGCATGAAAGCGGGCATCAATTTTTTAAGGACTATAATTATATCAAGTTGCTTATATTTATTATGTCAAGTTCTTCAATTATACACAGTCATGTGTTCTATTTTTAAAATGTTAGCATTTAATAATATTTAATTATAAATATACATTAAGCAAAAAACACACATGGCTATATGTGATTAGAAAACTTGATATAATGGACTATAATTACTTATATTCATTATGTCTAGTTCTCCAATTACATATGACCATGTGTTTTATTTTTGAAATGTTATCATTTAATAACATTTAATTATAAATCTATATGAAATAAAAAAAAAAAAGACACGTCGTCATATGTGATTAGAGAACTTAATATAATGGACTGTAATTATATCAAGTTGCTTATATTTATTATGTCAAGTTTTTCAATTACACATGACCATGTGTTTTATTTTTGAAATGTTGGCATTTAATAACATTTAGTTATTTACATGAAGCAACAAAAAAAAAAACACATAGTGATATATAATTAGAGAACTTAATATAATAGATTTAAGCAACTTGATATAAGTTTTTTTTTTCCTTTTTTAAACTCTCAAGGAAATCAATAATAGTGTGTTTTTGGACGAAGCCAATTAAAAAGCTACATGAATGCATAGACTTTCATAGTTGCTAGTCAAATTGAATGGGAAAGAACAAGAAAGTAGTGTGATAAAAATTTATAATGTGATTTCTTGTTCGATCATGGGCCAAACAAAAAATTTTAAATAATTTTCTTTTTTTGTCATTAAAATATTTATACAAATGATTAATAAATAACCTGTACAATTAAGTACTCCGGCGCGCATTTCCCACATAACTTATACTCCTCCGATCTTTAATATAAGACCCATTTAACTAATTTGTTTAAATTAAGGAAGTTAGGTAAGTTAGTTAATTATAGGAAAAGTGTCACATTTTTCCTAAAACACCATAATCATCTTTCTTAATACCCCTTCTCCCTCTTCTACTTGATTATGGTTGAGGGAGTATCCATAAGGGTATTTTAGAGAAAATTGATAAATATGATAAATGGGTCTTATATTTAGGACCAAAACCAACACAAGAATTGGGTCCTATATTAAGGACCGGAGGAGTATTATTTAGCCTTTTCAACAATTTTTAACATAATGGAGAACCGCAACTAAATCTAACCTCACAGGGAAAAAAACACATGGGCTGCATGAATTTGCAAGCTCGTGATTAGCTTGTACGTCATGAACTAACTGGAAAGTTGCCACCCTTTGGGTATGGTTTAGGGAGTGAAAAATAAGAACATAGTTGCGCCCATAAAATGTGATAATTTAAAGTATATTATTGAATATTTAAAATTTCATCAAGAATTTATATTAATATTTTCTGACAGACACCTCAACAAATGAGGGTTGCAAAATGACTACCGGGATCATCACAACATCATATTATTATTAATTTTACATAAACATAATATTGTCTACAAGTTATGAATAGTATCTCTCATCTTAGACTTCTTACAAATACATCATCAAACCCAATCTAGTTTTGACACCAATATCAAAACAAACTGATAAATTAGTTCCAAATTGTTAAATCTACCTAGTTTTAGCTTTAAGAATTAATAAATGTACAAGTTAATGCTCGAGTTAAAAAAAAAAATCACATATTACTCCTTTTGTCAAGTAACTTTGAATTGGGCAAAAAAATAAAAAAGTAACACAAATAACTTATCATTAGATACCATCAAATGTACTTGATATTTATCATAAAGCAAAATAAAACTCCAGTCAATGACCAAAAATCACCAAATAATGAGTGCCCAGACCATCTCCAATCTGCCTATACCACATTCATAGACCTAATAAGTTGCTGAGATTAGTTTTCTTTTTTTTTTGACCAGCAAGTTGCTGAGATTAGTTAAAGGCTTAAGGGGACGCGACCCACATTCCTATTCATGAAACCAACAAGTAGGCGCATATCTGAACTACTAATCCGCAAGGCAAAATAAACATATACATAGGCAAAATAAATATATACATAGACAAAATAGCCTTGAAAATTTCCTAGCCTACTGTGCGACTGCGCCATAAGTACTCTATTTTAATGGCAACCGGGAAGCACAGATCCAATGTTTGCAGCTTCACATTTCAGACACAGCTAGTAAAACTAGCTATATCTCCAATTCTCAGGTACCTGAGGAGTAGTTTGGACATGTACTCTTTCCTTGATGTTCTATTAATTACTAAGTTAAACAATCTAGAGGAGCACAACAGGAAGCCAAAGTGCACATTCAAATTACCGATATGAATGTGAAGGCCCATCAAATGCATAACGAGAAGAAACTGGCGCATGCATGGATACTGGCTGGGCCCTGTGATAATGCCGCGCCTGACTATATTCTGGCAAAGCTTCAGCAGCATATGTTGAGTACAGACTATCTTGAAAGGTTTCTCTCCTTGGCAAGTTACCAGCCCTGCTCAAGATTCTTCCACCTACTAAAGAGCTCAAAGAGAATTCATCATCTCTGTATGAAGGTTGAGAATAGGGGTCCCTTCTTGATGAACCATATCGGTAGTCATCTACACCATGACCATAAGCCTGATATTCCCTCTTATTTAAATATAGAGGATCAGTGAGAAGTCTTTCTACATGAGATTGTGAAGGGACATCCTCCCTGTAGATAGAACCCAGTTGATGAAGGTGCTCTGTTTCACGATCTCTCTCATGGGGCTCCAGTGTGGGATTCGCATGAGAAGGGGGAGTCAGATTTCTCCCATCTCCTTGAAGACCATAAGCTCGATAATCCTTTTCAGTCAGGAATAAATCACGTACTTTCCTTTCATGTTGCAGAACATTATAATTCTTCCCATGGCTATTGGCATAAGGATCTTGGTCCGATCTTTCCCTATGCAAATGGGACCATTGTCCCTCAACACCGTCAGAAACTTCCCTATCCAGCATTAGTACTTTTGGACAGGTGCGAAGAGGCAGCAAAGTGGAATGAATTGTAGCTGGTCGGAAAAGTCCTGTAAGCTTCCTAACCTGAAAGGGAATGTTAAAGTATTAGAATAAATCAGAACAACAGCCAACCCACCAGAGGAAACACTTGATTCTCACCTGCCTGACAGTAAGTTCAGTTTTGAACTTGTTCCTTTCATCATAATTTTCTTTGATAGCCTTTTTGAAAATGCTCTCAGGCAGTGGGAAGCAATCCTTCTCAATGCTGAATCGCACCTGAAGGTTCAGAGCTAGCCATAAGCACATGATTCTTGACAAAATAAAATGAGAATTATTTGCAGAAGTGTGGGACAGAACTTGCAAGGAAAAGAAAATGCAAAGGGAAAACAAACCTGAGCAGGAAAGGAACCATTGAACGCTTTGGGTTCAAGTTTCATGCCCCCAGAGGATGTAGCTTTGTATATCCCATATAATAGCTTAAGATCAAAATCATAAAGAAAAAGCTTAAGCCCACGCTTGACTCCCAAAACAACATCCTTTTTACCACTGGAAACACCCATAACTTGGTAATGGAAACAGTCTGGCTTTGTTTTTGCACTGCACATGAAGATTAAGCCACCAAGCTTTTCTCTCTTCCCTTCATTCAAATTAACCTTCTCTGGGCTGCCTTTCTCATTTTCGTTCATTCTATTATTAGCACCCTTGTTTGGCTTTACATGCTTTCCTCTGTTCTTCTGTTCTTGTTTACTAACATTTGACTCATTAGTCTTCTCATTACTATTTTGAATATGATGGCTCTGCCCAGTAAAAGGTTTATCACTAGTGCCCCTATTTCGACTATCCTCATTGCTATTGTCCACCTGCTGGCTCTTCTCCTCATGCTGCTCATCAGCAGTTCTGTTCTGTTGACTGTCTTGTGAAGTTTGTTTCTTGCTGCGCCCATTTCCGTTGTGAGAAATTTCTCTCTCTCCCACTATTGCTCTATTCTTTCTCTGTTGATCTTTTCCTGGAATCCGCTTAAAACCTTTATTCTTTTTTATGTTAGGCCTGCTAGGCTGAGACCTCTTAACAAATTTTGATTTGGCCTTCAATGACTGTTGAAGATTTTTGCCACTTGACTCTGCTTTACTAGATCCTTTAGGCAGATTCTCTGTATCCTTCCTACTATCAGCTTTGTTGACGCCTTGTTCCATATTACATTAGTACCTGAATTTACAAGATGCAAAAGGAAAAAATTTAGTTCAAGCATTTAAGAAGTGAGACGTCTTTCCCGTTTTTCAAATCTTTTTGACATTGTACATCATCCAGAAAAAGCTTAAGGCCTGTTTGGGATAGCGTTCAAAAGCACTTATAAATACGTTTCACATAAACTGAGACAAAACTCCTCTCACAGCTTATTTCGTATTTCGTAAATCACGATTAAAAAACTACTTATAAGTTATTCCACACGAGCTCTTGGTCAATTCAATCATTTATTTTGAGGTGGGGGCATAGGAAGGAGAAGATGGAAGCAATAAGATGGTTTCATTCAATGGTAGGCGTATTCAAGCCACATCCAATTTCTTATTTTTCCTTAAAAAAAAATTCAAGATATGATAGAAACAACAATGTACTTGTTACATGTATAGGGCCGTATAGTACACATCTCAGTATCAAGTTAATTAGGATGTGTCACACATCCATCAGCTGCAGAAAAGGCGCCAAGAAAGTTACATAAACAACTTGAGAGAAACCAAGTAAAAAGGGAAACTTCCATATTGAGATTTTGGGGTCTCATTAAGTTCCACTCTACAAATAAGATGTTCTACCCGGCAGTGGCTTCACAGATATAAGAATACCAAAGTTACAAAAATAGTAATCATTATAGAGATTACAAATATCCAAATGAATAATAGCAGAGTATCTTCATCATCAATGCTAAATCACTCTCCTATATTTCATACAAAAGTTATATAACTTGTATCATTCATTCAAGTATGAAGGTGCCTGACAAAAGTTGAAGATTAAATGTTTAAAGGTACAAAACAGACAATAAGTTAGTGATGAATTAACTTAACATTAGAAATATTCATACCCACACTGCTTAATGCTTTCAGTCATATTCATGAGAACATGGACAGGGGCGTGCATGGACAGACAAGCAGGCCAGATGTCCATGCAGCATTAGATATGGCTAGTACAACTAAGCTAAAAAGACTGCCCCTTGAGTGTTATCAGCATGTTGAGAACTATATTTATACTTTTTTCAGCGTAGAATTAAGTGAACAATATATCGTAAAGAATCTCATATGTTAAAAGTGCAGCTCCCCAAAACCATGAAGTTTATAGTTTAATCAAACTGTGAGTCTTAATATTCTTCTTGATGTCTTTCATCCTCATGTTGTTCCCACATCCAGAGTGTTCAATAACAATTTACAATCCATATAACGTGAAAAAATTGGCAATAACTTTTCATTCTCTGTTAAAGATGGAAATAATCATGCCAAAAACTGTAAGATCACTCTCAATCCATTCACATGATTAGTAATTGATTCAAGAGACTGCAAATGAGGACAAACAAATGGCACAATGAATGGTCAGAAACCTTTAAATAAGGTTTCAATATCCAATTGGCCAAATGTTTTCTTTCATTGCCACTGAGTGAGATGATAGCATTTTAAACTATGCCACTAGAAAGAGCACAAATGTTATGTTCATTTTTTTACCATGTACGACTTTGCCTTGCTTTACTTTTGTTGACATTGCCATAAGATTATGGCATTATGGATTATCATTCCAATTCTTCCACGGGTCCACCATGATTGTAGGCAAGTATTATCTGGGTTCAGTAGACAAATCTAGTATTCCCACTAAAGTTTCCTAATTTCCCCTATTTGCCTGGTTTGCATGAAGCCGAAACCTTTCTAGTATCCGAAGTCCCCACTCCCCAACATAAGTATGAAAATAGCCAAAGCATTATTAAAATTTTGAAAAAAAAAAGGGAACCGTGGATGATAACCAGAAGCTAAGTAGACAAGGGCGGCCTGCATTTACTCAACTACATTCACTCGCATGAAAGACAGCAAGGCAAAGTTACATCATTAGCAATACAAAGTTATTTTTCAGAAGAGTGAGAGGAAGATAGACAAAAGACAGGTCTAAACACAACCTATATCAATTTGAGTGAAAGCGGATGCTTTTATCCAATCGCCCAGATGAAATATCGAAATTCAAGTGAAGAACAAAGTCACCAACTTTGGGCATAATCGCGCAAGAAATACGGAACTCCATCCAAAATGACAAACTACACAACCCTGATGAAATCTGTTTAACAATTTTTACCATCATATAGACTCATCAAAAACCACTCAGAGCAGCTACCAAAGCGGACAGAACGGTATAAATCCTCATCGATATCTACACAAGCACACCGACTCACACAATGAAGCCGTGATCGGAATCAAGTAGGGAAGAAGTACCTAGGGAATATGAGTCAAATAACCAGTGATCCAAACGGTGGACCAAAACCAGAGTCTGGAGGGTTTTCGCCAAGCGGGAGTGGGTTCATGGCCAAACGGACGACTTCGGTCTTTGACTCTTTGTTTTAAACTAGACAAACCGGAGCCTCGAACGCTTCCATCCTAACTGATTCTGTAGTGTGATGGGACCCGCTCGTAGCATAAGTGGGACCAGCTGTTAGTATGGGAGCGTCTCTAAAATAAAATTAATAAAAGAAAAAAGAGTTAAATATTGATGATAAAGATATAATCAGCATTACATATCTTGATTGGTATATCACGTAAGGAAGTTTCATTTAAATTTAATGGATATTGTCTTTTTTATTGTATGTTATTTCCTTAAATTTAAATATTTATTTTTATTATCATAGATAAATATTTCTTTTTACTTCTAGTATATATTATTTCAAACAAATTAATTCGAGATTAATTTTCTTCACATTAATTGCAAATACTTTTCAAAGGGAATGCGCTTTCTTTCTTTCTATTTTTTTTTGATAAAGTTGAGATTCGATTTTGTTGTAATGCGGGTTGTATTGTGATCTGTAGTTTGATGATAATAAAATTAAAGGGTTAGTTATTTTCTTCTTCTTCTTTTTTTGGCCAGATAATTATTTCCAGATAGGTAGGGATTTTTTTTTTCTAGCTGTTTGAGAGCTAGCTTTCTTGCTTCCATAATTCTAGTTTATTTCAAGCTTTGCATATTATTGGAATTGGAAAGATCTTCCTTAATATTATACTCCTCCGGTCCTAATTATAAGACCCAATTGACTTATTTGAGGAGATTAAGGAAGTAAGTTAAGTTGGTTATTTATAATAAATAAGTGTTGTTATTCCTAAAATATCCTTGCTAATTAAGTATATTGGCTAAAACTATCATTATTAGAAGGATTATCTTGGAAAAAAATGCATAAATATAAAAGAAAAAATGGATTGGGTCTTATAATTAGGACCAAATAAAAAGTCAAATTGGGTCTTATAATAAGGACCGGAGGAGTAGCTACTTATGAACAGTGCTTCATCAATCAAAAGGCAGGAAATTTTGACTCTTCTTCATGATTTTCATATTCTTCCTTTTTAAAGCCAATTACTCTTTATGCTTTTTTTTTTCTCCCAGGAATGGCTTAAATTCCATCAGCTTTGGTACTTTGTAATACTCATAACTAAATAGGGATTTAAAATGTTGATGTTTTTATGCTTTTGCCCCTTACTTTAAAAACTAAATTTACAAAAAAAAAAAAAAAAACTAACTAGCTGATCTCGTTAGAGACAATGCTACTGGAGTTTTGGCACTATTGACCCTCTCGGTAGCCAGTCACCAGAGCTTAGATAGCATGTTTTCAAAGCTCTCATAGTTAGCCACTAAATCTCTAATACTACTCTATTTAGTTACTAATTATTTTTATTAAATTATTGACTATTTTTGTTTTTAGAGTCTCAAAAACTCTTACCTAGGTATTGGCTACTTTTGTTTTTAAAGATATGATGACTACTCTTGTTTACTTATTGACTGTTCTAATTTTTGTATGGCTACTTTTATTTGAAAAATTCAAAAAATGTAGTAGGAGTTGCTAGAAATCTAATGAATACTTTTGTTTAGTTACTCATTACTCTAGTTTTGCTATTTACTACTTTTGAAACTACAATAATCAATATCTAAATAGGAGTAGCCACTGAACTTTTAGGGAAAAAAAGTACCCAATATCCTTTTTTTTTTTTTGTTTTTTGCAAACAGCTAATATCAAATTTAGAATAGTCAATAACTAAATAAGAATAATAATTAAAGCCCTGAATTAAAAAAATAATTAATAACTTAATAAAAGTAATCAATGACTAAAACAAGAGTAATTATTAGAATTCTGGCGGTTAGCCACCAAAGGGATTGTTAGTGCCAAAGCTCCAGCTAAGCCTACTTAGGTGGCATTCTAAAAAATTTTTTAAAAAAATGCAAGGGCAAAAATGTAAAAAAACCAACATTTTAAAATTTCTATTTAATGATGACTATGGATTTGAGATTTTGGAAATTGGTGTTACTTTTCTGGAATTTAGAAATTCAAATGATATTTTTTAGGAATTTTCCTAGATATTATCTGACTTAATGGTGTAATTAATTTATTAAGTATTGTTAATTTCTTAAAAATCATGCCAAATCATTAAGAAAACGAATGCAATATTTACCTCATTTGTCAAAGAAATAATTATGGGAAAAGAAAGTGTTGAACGTGTGGAAGAATCTGTTGTGCAATCAACCTCGTTACATTTCTTTTTGTCCTCTTTTTTTTTTTTGGGAATACAAAGGCAAGTTTATGCTTGATAAACGACAGAACAAAAACTTAAAAGCATTCCTAATACCAAAAGAAAAAAAAAAACTAAAAAGCATTCCTTGAGCTGGCACCCACCAAACTTTGGTCTGCCATGACACGAAGTCTGCATCTTGCTGGAACGTGTAGCAATAATTTCGATCTTTCTTCCTTCATTCGGGTTTCTTTTGCTAGAATATCTGCATACTCCAGTGCCTTTCGCTTCGCATGTAGCAACGTGACTGACCGTTAATCATATAGCAGTCCCCTGGTTTTCTCCACCTCCTCTCGGAAGTGATGGTTAACCCGTTATCCCTCATCAAAATATTAATTGCCTCCATGAATAAACCAGAATCTCTTGAAAATTCTGTCGTTTGCAAACTTCCAACCCAGCTTTGATCGCCAGGACCTCTATAACCGTTACAGGGTACGTTCCAAGTTGTTGTTTAAAGCCAATGATTCAATGTCCTCTTGAGTCTCTGACCAGACCGCGACGTGTAGCTTTCCTATGAATGCCCACTGAAGCGTCAACGTCCAGTCTTAATTTATCTGGTGGCAGAGGCTTCCATCATTATCAGTGGCTGTATCGCTTTGGAAAATCCTGTGTCATAGCTTCCCATCCTCCATATATTCCGTCAGTTGGTACAAGCATTGGTGCATAATCTCTTTATGGGTGCTCTCTCCTTCCCCGAATACTTGCTTACACCGATGTTTCCAGATCAACCAACATACGTGGCCAAATATGATGCGCCACAACCAGCTGGCAAATCATGTCTTACTGGGCTCCCTTGTATCATTCTATTTCATCCATTCCTGCAAAACGCAAGAGAAAAAGGCAAAAAACATGTTAGGTTTAATAAATTCCTTCCGTAGTTTTTTCACTTTCTCACAGTCTCTGGTTACCTATAACACACTCTACTCACTCAAACACCCTAGAGGACACTCTCCTGAATTTACGAGTCTTCTCTTCGCTCTGAAGAAGTTGGTCATAATTCTTTCATGGGATATTTGCCATAAAAAGAATTTAATTTTTTTCGAGTAGCTTCTAACGCTATATTTTCCGCCAAATCAACCTCCCCACTCCATCCCTGGACTTAGATAGGAATTTATACGCTGCTTTTACTGAAAACCTCCCATTCGAAGCTTCACACTAGCATATGACATCTGGTTGTGTGTGCCTGTTGGAGGTTTAATTTGTATCAATGTCTGAACCACCCATTGTCTCCAACACGTATAGTTCCATAGTCCACCCGGAAGGGTGAAGTTTGCCACTCTTGCTTCAGGATTAATCTGACTAAGGACATTCTAGGCATATTCAATGAGCGGTTTATCAAGAGGTGTCCACAGGTCCCACCATAATCTTATGGTTATCCCATTATTCACTTTTTTCCCCCCTACTAGCATAAACTTTTCCATGCTGTAGTTATGGCCTGCCAAACGAGGGAGGAGCTCTTGCTCTTTATTACCTTGGAATTACTTCTGACCCACATTCATATTTTAATTTCAGCACCTGAACCCATAGAGCGTGTGGCTTCATTACAAGACCCCAAAAAAGTTTCATAATGAACGCATGATTTTGTTTCTCGAGGTTTTTAATGCCCAGACCTCCTACTTGTTTCCTCGTCGTGATCTTTTTCCAAGCTATTAAACACGCATTTTCTTGGCATTCTCATCCTGACACCGTAGAAAGTTTCTGCTTATCTTCTCAATCTCCTGGGGTACTCCTTTTAGGATCAATGCAGACTGCATTTGGTACGAGGGGAGAGTAGCTATCACACTTTCGATAAGAATTGTTCTTCTAGCCATGGTAAGATATTTACTCTTCCAAGACGACGGTCTAGACTTCACCTTTCGATTTAATGCCCAAATGTGTCTTTGGTGATTCTTGAATGGATGAGAGGGACCCCAGGTATTTTCTCAGATATGAGGTGACACCAATTCCCAACAGCTCACTTAAGGCGAATTCCCGATGAAAATTGACATTCTTAGAATAGAAAGCCTTAGATTTCTGCAAACTGACTTTGTGACCTGAAACTCCACAAAATTTACTCAACATCCCCAGAACCACTCCCTTTTGTCTCACCATGGCTTCAGTAAAAAGCAAAAGATTGTCTGCAGTAAGTTTTATTTGTTTCCACTTTCCTCTCTTGCATTCATCTTGAATGAGATGGTTTAATCTTTCCATGCACAGGACAAAAAGTATGGACTAAGTGGATCTCCTTTTCTCACACCATGTGTCGGCTTAAACTACGATCCTTCCTCTCCATTCCATAAAAGTTTCATCGAAACTGACGACGTAACACAAGCCATTATGACTTTTATGATGTTTTCTTGCAAACCAATCAGTCTGAGAGTTTTTTCAAGGAATCCCCGATCTAATTGATCATATGTTTTTTTCATCTTACTTTCACTGCAACATATCCCTTTCTGCTCTAGGTTTTGTTCTGATAGTGTGCACAATTTCTTGAAGCTCATTACATTTCTATTCGTGAAAC